AGTCAGGCGGCCAGCCAGGCGGCCAGCCACACAGCGGAGCGCCGGCGGCCCGGCGGCAGCGCCAGGCAGCCCCCCTTCACCCCCGCTCCTCCCCCCACGGCCCGACCGGCAGGCGCCGCCGGCACCAGGCCCACCCGGCCCCTCGAGGGTGGGGGAGCGGGGGAGCTCCACAAATGCGCTCCCCGCTTTACTACAGCCATCCGAGCCGGGGGAAGCTGGTAAAAGAGTGCTTGCGCCTAATTTCAGATCACGTACCGACAAAAATACTTGCTTAAGGTTGTCCGAATGAGCTTAAGGATCTTAAGTGTGCGGGTACTGTATGTATTTGCGACCTGCCCCAGCATTTCCTTTTACGTATCAAAACGGTAAGAAAAACTGGCATGTCACTTGCATGATAATGGTGTAAACTCGTTTCCCATGTGATTCGAGCCATCGGGCTTCAGCTAAAGGCAGGTGCTGCTGCTGCTGTTGCAAGTCGACACGAGGAACAAGCCGCTGCAAAACACCGAACAAACAACGACAATTATCCCCGATGATCAGAAATGGCCGACAATCGACAGGCGCCATGAATGAATGGAGCCAGGTCGAGGCGCCGGAGGTATCGGGGAGGGGGGCTGGAGAGGGGTGCATACAGCTGGCTCCGACCCTTATCGGCCACATCCGAAGCGTCGAGGGTTCCTCCGGGATGCCGCCGCCGCCGCCACTCCAGACGCCACCCGGGCCGGCGGTGCCGGAGGAGAAAAGGGACCGGGACCGGGTGGTCGTCGCGTCCCCAGCTGTAGGGGGGGTCACGTGGACGCAGCTGTCGCGGAGGTCGGCGCCACAGCACAGCAGCGGTCCGGGGCCTGGCGGCGGCGCCTGGAGGCCGGTGTGGTGCGCCCGCCGCAGCTGGCATACCCCGGCTTGTTTCCGGCCGAAGGACCAGGTCCCCCGGGATGAGTCTGGGACCCTACACGTCGACGCCGTCGCGTCGAGGTCGCGTGCCCGGCCCGGCCCTGGGGTGGTACTTGACGAGAGCGACAGGCAGCCCGGGAGGAACCCGTGAGGCAGCCGTCGACAAATATTTGCGCCCTTATCGCCGCAGAGCTGGACTCCGTTTGGGGAAGTCCTGCACGCGACACACACACACATACACACACGCACACACAGAGGGCTGCTGCTGCGGGGTTCAACGGCCCGCCATTCTGATCACAGGAATATCAAATCACATCACACCGCCCGCCCGCCGCGACACGGCATGTTGAGTTGCATCAGCCGCGCTCCCCTTCGTTATCAGCGCGTCGCGACGGCCGCGGCAGCAGCGGCTCCCTGACCTCGCCAACGCGCAGCCGGCCCGCCCCGCCCCGCCGCCGTGACGCTGCGCTGCGCCCCTCACAGCCGCAGCCGGGCCGGCCCTTCTTCCCCTGGTTCCAGGATGAACGCGCTTCGCTTTCAGGAGGCCGTGCGGCAGGCCCGGCGCCGTCGTCGCCGCTTGGCTCTCCCGTCATTATGTCCCAGCCCTGCATTCCCCGCTAATAGCGGTCGTCCCGTCCCGCCCCGCCCGCCGGCGCAGCCGCAGCAGGGACCCCAAGGACCCCGACCGCCCGGGCCTCCCGCTCCCGCCTCCCACAACACTCCAGGACCCTCCTGGGCTGGGCCCAAGTGCGCGCGGCGGTCACACGCATCGAGCACTGCACGCGCCCGCCGAGGAGGGTCACGCCGGACGGGGAGCCCCCGAGTCCGCCATCGACGTCGTCCTCCACGTTGAGGAGGAAACCTTCGTCACTGGAGTGGCCGTTCGGACAGAGTTAATGTCGGCGATGTACTCGGGATGGGTGGGCGGCGCACACCCCAGTGTGAGAACAACATCGAGGCCGCCCCCGGCCGCCCCGGCTACAGACTGCTGCTGCTGCTTTGAGGCGCCGGGCCCAGGCCGGGGCGCCATGCGGCAGTGTATACGCTGCTAAGCAAACATACGCCGGTAATTTGGAAACGGAGCGCACACTCGCACACTCGCTCACTCGCTCACTCGCTCACTCCCACACACACACACACACACACACACACACACACACA